GTGTTGCCTTATGCTTGCTCTGATGGCCACGGCACATATTTTACTCATCTGCCTTCCTTTGCTTTGTTGTTGCTAAGGCACGTTTCTTGCAGAGGTATTATGTTCAGTTAAAGCATGTTCGGTTCTGGTTTTTTGTCTTTTTTTTTTTTTCAGGATTATACTTACTCAGCTGTTAAGAGTAGGCAGTTTCTTCACTTCTTCCACAAGAAATCAAAGCAACAGCATTTTGATGTGGTGCAGTACAACAAGTTAAAAGAAGATCTTGCTAAGGTACCTTATTGCAAATACCACATCTTATAGCTGGTCTTGTCTGGGAGCCAGAATTCAGTGTCAGGGAAATACAATCGGTGGCTCATCCTCGTGGGTTAAATCGTGGTCCTGCACAGGCTTCTCTGCATTGTGGTTTTGTTCAGTGAAATAGCTGACATGTCCTGATACTAATTTCCTACAGTTTTATTCTTGTCATCTGTATTCTACATTGGCATAGCTTTACATGTATATGGAAAATGTCTTAAGTGACTTTGAGATAGTAAAATAACAGTATTCAATAGAAATCTATCTCCAAGTGAATATGTGTTTTTAAAGAACAAAGTCCAGTCTCAAGCTCAATTGCAGATTCTGTAACTATGGAGAACTAAAAGAAAGGAGAACTTTAGGAAGATGAGCACTCTGATAAACAATTTTACTAAGCTCTCGAAAGGTTTTTACAGGTTTCTTCTCCTTAAAAACAGAATCAATATGCTATTCCTCCTTTCATCATTTCCTTCTTTCAGATGCGAAAACAGAGGTTATACACGGTTAGAAAGTGGGGAAAGCAAGGTATGAAGCTCAGTTTGGATCCTGTGCTCTGGGGCACTTCCATATAATCTGTCTCCTAGGCAGCTTTTACCTCTGGCCTCCCAGTGGGCTCATTAGCTTTTTAAATTTTTCTTAGTAATTTTATAAGAAAAAAGTTTTGGTAGAAATACCTTCTACTGCTCAATGCATGATCATTTAATAGCCAGTAATCATCCTATCTTTTGTTACCCGTAACTTCTAAACTACCCATCCCTGAAATTTAAAAAAAGGAAGGATGTAACAAGAATTTGTAGTCCAAAACTTGGAGATAAAGAGCCTTTAAAAAATATGTTTAAATTCCATATAATCATTACTTAGGAAAAATATAATGATCTTTTTTTTTTTTTTAATTTAGTGGATACTTTTGCATTTAAATGATCCAATCCGTGAAGGCTAAGGAATGTTCTTTCAACTAGTTTATAGCACTGGGCATTGAAGATTTAGAGTAGCAAACTGTAAAGTTTTTTTTTTTTTTTTAAGGTAATAAAGTTGAGGGAAAAAAGGGAAACTGATAGGTCAGAGTAGTGGGTTTTTTTGTTTGGTTTTTTATAAACGGCAAAAACCACTGTAAAGGGGGAAACTAACATTACAAGAACTATAAGGATGAACTAGAAACTCTAAACTATCTCTTACAAAAGGATCCACATAAATTGAAATATTGTAGGCAGTTTCCACTCATAGTTTAGATCTATATATTGACCTAAGGAGACGTTAAAGGTATAGAATTCCTTGTGAACAGTAATCTGATACGTTTGTGGTCTTCTCTGATCAGTGCCTCTTCTTCTTCCCATGGACAGGCTACTGAAGCCCTGAGACAGGTGCGCCACTCTATCTGCGATGCAAGTAGAGGAATTCGATGAAAAGAAGTAATCTTACATTTTTAAATGTCAGTGAATTTTTCCATTATGTGTTCATTTTGCAACTTAGCAACTGGAACCTTTGTCCCATAGTTCATTTGAATTTGACTGTTTCAATCTCTTGTTAATAAAAAAAAAATGCTTGCAAAACACAGGTCTTCTTTGATGTTCTCATTTGAGATTTTCAGTTTGTGGATTCTCATGGCTTGTTGAGGTTTACTGCTGGAAGGAGCTTGGATACGTCCGTCAGAATCAAAGCTGCTGCTATTACAGTTCAGCATTTAAGAAGCTTTGTCAGCCTGTACTGTGTCATTCCTGTGCGGAGGTGAAACGGTCAGTGTTCTTGGCTTCACTTTGATTCTTAGGCTTCATTTAGAATCATCTGGTCATTAATTGCTTTTTAAATTCACAGTAGTTGCAAGATATTTATCATGAAATATACTTAAAATTATTATAAAATGTCATTTGAAATGTTTCATCGTAACTAATATTTACTTACTGTTTATCATTTGTCGTCACGTACTGTTCTAGGCACTTCACATATATATTATTTGTAATCCTATAATCCTAGGAGGTAGCTGTTTTTAATCCCAATTTAATAATAAGGAAACAGGTCCAGAGAGGTTAATTTGCCCAAGTGCACACAGCTAGAAAAGATTTTTTTAAATTAATTTATTTATTTTTGGCTGCGTTGGGTCTTCGTTGCTGTGCGCGGGCTTCCTCTAGTTGGGGTGAGCGGAGGCTACTCTTGATTGCGGTGCGCGGGCTTCTCATTGTGGTGGCTTCCCTTGTTGCGGAGCATGGGCTCTGAGTGCACAGGCTTCAGTAGTTGTGGCTCACAGGCTCTAGAGCGCAGCCATCTCAGTAGTTGTGGTGCACGGGCTTAGTTGCTCCGTGGCATGTGGGATCTTCCCCGGACCAGGGATCGAACCCGTGTCCCCTGCATTGGCAGGCAGACTCCCAACCACTGCGCCACCAGGGAAGTCCCTAGAAAAGATTTAAGCATCTACTCATAGTAGATCATAAATCTTTATAAATGTACAACTAATGGTATTTAATCCAACATCCAGGATGTCACCTTTTACATGTTTGACTATGGGACAGAAAGGGTAATGATGACACCCTGATATTAAGAGATTTGCTTAAAAAAATACCAGTGTTTTCAGGTTATATCTTTCAACCTAATCAGATTCAAACTTCCTACACCTTAAGTAGAGCAACACACTGTGATCACCTGCTGGTTTGTATCAGTATCTCCGAAACCTGGAGATGCTGAATTAGCAGTATATTAGTGTGTTTTATTAACAAGCTAAGAATATGCACTAATGTCTTTATAATGAATATCACCAGGTTAAGTATTATGACAAATTCTTAGGACATGTTCTGCGTTTGAGAAACTCTATTCCCAGCAAGACAAGACTGTCAATATAATGAAAGAACAGGGAGCGGTGTTTGCTTTATTCACCGACGCATCCATCCCAAGAACACCTGGCTCCTATGAGGTACCCAAGAGAGGTTTAACGTCTGGAAATTTCATGTATAGTGCTGGGGAAAAGCTGAGACTAGGAAAGTAGAAAGGATGGCTTCTGAATTCCCAAACTGTCTAAAGGAAAACCTGGGAAAAAGGGGTAGACAAGAGCCTGTTTTTGTATATAAAGTTTTATTGGAATACAGCTATGCCCACTGATGCACTGACGGTGGCTGTTCTCACACTATAGCAGCAGGGTTGACTGCAGCAGAGACAGCAGGCCTGCAAAGCCCAGCATAGTTACTCTCTGGCTCTTTACAGAAAAATTTTACCGACCCCTGAACTAGAACGTGAAAGACAATTCTCAAAGAACACTTCTGTGTTTTTAGGGCTTCGGAAAATTTGTCATGCGAAAAATGAATTAATTCTTAGTAAAGACAGCTCCCTTTGACTTGGATCTTCCCACTTGATAAAGTAAAATAAAGTTTAATTCTTCAGAGAAGGAGCTACATGTAGGTCACATTGTACTTACTTTATGACACGTGAAACTGATTTCTGAGTACCCAGGGGATGACAGCTCAGTGATCACAGGCAAGACTCTCTGACCTTTTTAGTATTTAAACTGTAGTTTCTCAAATGAGACATGTCATTTATGTTAAACCTTTATAGATCAGTTATTAACATAGAGTACGAAATTTCTACTCAAGTTCCAAGTTAAATAGATTGGAACTAAAACTAAAGGAATCCAAATTACACATTAGTTTTATTACAAAAGGATTGTTTTATCCTGAGACAACTGTTATAAACGAAATTCAACTGTGTCCCTATGGCTTCCACAGCTCAAATTTGATGGCGTTTTGACGCCCAGATAGGTAGGTACCAATGTCATCTGTACAAGAGGATTTTATTCAGATAAACCTTTGATCACATTCAAGGGAAAAAAAGATGTGTGTGTGTGTGCGGGGGGTTTGTTGAGCTTTTTAATAACATGAGCTAATTTCTCTTAGGTAACCAAAGCTGTATATTCTTTGCCTAGAGGGCCAGGCCCGTGTTCGTTCGATGAACTGAGGAGAGCTTCTGTAGTCATTTGCTCTTGCAAGAAGAGCCGGCAGCACCCGTGGGTCGGGGGTTAAAGGAAAGGTACAATGTTCAACTGACAGTGAAGTGCCTGTCATGACCACAAAAAAAGGTATAAATGTCCCACTGACCTTAGCATATAGTGGGCACGTGTTTTGAACTACAACTGAAACAGCACAGGCAAACTACTGCTTCTGAACCAGCAACTCACAAGTTTGTTATCAAAGCCCAAACTTCTAATCATATTCAGCCTCCAGCAGGTTATTAACAAAACATATTACTCAAAATTTACATATCATATTAGTAAGAACTGAATCTTAAAAGTAACATCCGGGACTTCCCTGGCGGTCCAGTGGTTAAGACTCCGAGCTTCCACTGCAGGGGGCACGGGTTCATTCGCTGGTCGGGGAACTAAGATCCTGCATGCCGCATGCCACGTGGCACAGCCAAAAAAAAAAAGGTAACATCTATTATTCCATGAACATGATGATGGTCTGTGAGTGGGACTGCCAGACAGTGTATAGTAACTAACATGCAAGATACTGACAGAATCAAACTTTGCAAGTGTGTAGCCTCTATTGACTAAGAATTAACTGTGTTTTATATTTCTTCCTCAGAATGCCATGTAATAGTTCTTGAAGGCTTTTTTTTTTTAAAGTGAGAGCTAAAGTCCTATATAAAAAGTGATAATTCATATGTAGATTAATTTATATGACCAAGTAAAACAAGTCATCTATAAATTACACAAATGAGCAAGAATGTGAATTTGAAAAATTTAATAAAGAATGAATTTCAGATATTAAAGGAAAACAACGAATTATTAGGTTCAAAAACTTTTAAAAACATTATAAAGTTTTATAAAAAGTCACAAAATACAAGTTAAATCAGTCAGGTATTTTGAGTAACCTTGCAATTTACTACAAAAGTCAAGTATTACAAATGCTTGTGGATTTTTATTTATAGGAATTCCCTGAGGATTTCATTTCTACACATATCAAACCCCTTCACCATGTCCAATGTGAGCTGTTTTTTTGTAAAGTTCTCTCATTAGAGCTTAAGACATTTAAAATTGCTGTACCATTTAGATTGCTTCAACCTAGTGATACTTCTTTATATAAAAATACAGATACATAAAACAAAATAGCACCTATCAATCATTTAGATTTTGGAAAGAAATGCAGCTTTTTAGTTAGCATTGAGGCAAAGCAGGGCACCTGCTTCTTTCCAATTGCACTTGGGTCTCTGCAGATCTCCACTCGGCGCTGAGAAACTTTCCTGTTCACCAGCGTGAGGAGTTCTGTGAACTCTAAGGAGGACCCGAATTTTCCCAGCATCTCGCACAAATCTTGAATGTACCATGAGCCATTCACAGTTTCCCGATGAGAATAATAACCTAAAAAAGATAGACAGGAGAGCCACTGAAGTCTTCTGGTCACTTACTGTGACAGAAAAACACCTTTAGAAAGTCTGAGTTCTTAAAAATCCTTGGAGAAGACTAAGATGTGCCGTGATACAGTTTTAAAAGTTTTCTCTGTTGACTATTCTCACGTGGGAAAAACGATTAATTCCATACAGTTCTATAAAAATAGGGTTAATGCTATGTAATTTTCTCCATTTCCTGAAAATTCCCAAGATAGTAGTAACCAGGCAATGATTTCTGAGACACGCGATTAGAAGAAAGAAAAACATAAAATTATTTACTGCAAGAGCAGAGAACAACTGTCATCAGAATAGTTTTGAACGTTTCCCGCGAGCGTTACCACAGCAGCAGTGTCACCATCAGTAACTGACGTATTCTGCTGCTCAAATTCAATATAATTAGCCTTATAGCTTTATTTAACATAGTTCTCAGGAAGGATTTTTCTATAAGGTATTTTATCCTTTTAGATATCACTCTGATCACAAGGCACAAAGAAGTCCATTAAGCCTCTGAGCTTCACGACCAAATCACATGCCCCATTAGAAAGACCTCAGCCAAATCAAGCCAAGGTGAAACTTACAGGAACTTAGCCAAGAAAGCCAACTATACATTTGTATTAAACACCCACACACCTTCTGCCACAGAGTAACACATGAGGAAGTCTGCTCCAGCAGGAAGTGCATAAACCGAGGCTGCATCCACCTGGGTTAGGTTGACATCCAGCTTGTTGGTCTGATGATCCACTGCATCCAAAGGGATGACTGGCACATCGTGCTGGTTTCCCCGACATGCCTATGAGACAAGGAGGAAAATCCCCTCCTTTACCTACCTATTCTTCCCAATGCTTCATGTTCACAGTGAATGTGTGCTTCAGCACGCCTCCACTGCAACATCAACAGAAGCCACTTTATAGGCGCTTCAGAAACAATGCATTCAGGTTTAGAGCAGGCCAAAGCTGACAGGTTTTTTTCCTACTTACGTTTTCCTATAGTTAATGTTGATTGAATGGTACACTGTAAAAGGGAGAGCATCTGTGGTTTTACAGTTTCTTAGGGATTACCCACACCATGGCACCAAGAGTCACCCTTTCTTTTAAAAGCTATAGTATGTGCCTAAGTGTTTCTATATAATCAGGTAATGTATTCCCAGATTGGGTTTTCCTTGCCAAGCGGCCACCATAAATTGTTAAGGGTCAAAATGACACCACATGACCTGAGAGGATATCTATTAATGTGCCTCCTGCCTTTTGCTCCTACTTAAAAGTGAGGGCTCAAATTCTTACTAATTCTGACTCACACAAGGGCTAACATTAATTTCTACTCAAATAACTATTATGGGCTGCATTTTGTCCCTCCCCGATTTATACACTAAGGAGTTCAATATATAACATATAACCCCCAGTATTTCAAATGTGACTGTATTTGCTGATATGGCCTTTAAAGAGATAATTAAGGTAAAATGAGGTTCTATTGGTGGGCCCTAACCCACTATGACTGGCATCCTTATAAAAAGAGACCAGGACACAGACATGCACAGAGGAAAGACCATGTGAACAGAAGCCACCTCCCAGGCAAGGAGAGAGGCCTCAGAAGAAATCAACCCTGCTGACACCTTGATCTCAGACTTCTAACCTCCAGAACCGCAAGAAAATACATTTCTCTTGTCTAAGCTACCCAGTTTGTGTACAGGCAGACCTCAGAGATATTGCAGATTCGGTTCCAGACTACAGCAACACAGTGAGTATCGCAATAAAGTGAGTCACATGGACTTTCTGGTTTCCCAGTGCATATAAAAGTTATGTTTACACTATACTGTAGTCTATTAAGTGTGCAATAGCATTATGTCTAAAAGTACAGGCCTTAATTAAGAAATACTTTATTGCTAAAAAATGCTAACCATCACCTGAGTCTTCAGCTAGTCATAATCTTTTTGCAATAGTAATGTCAAAATCACAATCATAACAAACATAATGAAAAAGTCTGAACTATGAAAATAACCAAAATATGACACAGAAATGAAGTGAGCAAATGCTGTTGGAAAAATGGCATCAACACAGGGTTGCCACAAACCTTCAATTTGTTTAAAAAACAAAAACACTATCTTCAAAGTGCAATAAAGTGAGGTATGCCTGTACTTTGTTCTGGGAGCCCCAGTAAACTCCATACAGAGCTCTAACAAGATTCTGCTGTAGTATTATAAATGCATGCATCAGTTCTGAAATGGCTGAAGAATTAGAAGCTTTAAAAGAAACAGTTCGGATAGATTTCAGAGTTATCATATAAATAGAAGATCCCTAATATCCTATTTTTTACAGGGAGATTTTGATCTTACATAGTATTAGCAGGCTTATTTTCAGACCTTATTTTCAACTGTCTGTCTTCCTAAATGGAACGTAGAACACGTGGAACTCAGTGTTCTACTGCAGCAAGAATAAGAGCCAGCCTTTACCGGGGGCCTGCCGTGTGCCAGGCACCGTTCGAAGTGTTTTTCATGTTAGGCCAGATCGTTTTATCCTCTCAGCCACCCCAGGAGCCAGTGCTATTTTATCCCTGTGTCACAGATGAAGAAGCTGAGGCGTAGAGAAATGAAATAACTTGGCAAAACATTTTCCTCCTTTGTGGCCCATGAGTTATTTCCAATTCTCCTGTCTGACAGTGCTGGCCGCTCCCTTTTTCATGAGCAGTCTCACCGGTCATTTCTTTTTTTTTTTTAATATTTATTTATTTTTTTGGCTGCGTTGGGTCTTCGTTGCTGTGCACAGGCGGGCTTTTCTCTCTAGTTTTGGCGAGCAGGGGCTACTCTTTGTTGCGGTGTGCGGGCTTCTCATTGCGGTGGCTTCTCTTGCCGCGGAGCACAGGCTCTAGGCACGCGGGCTTCAGTAGCTGTGGTGCGTGGGCTCAGTAGTTGTGGCTCGCGGGCTCTAGAGCGCAGGCTCAGTAGTTGTGGTACACGGGCTTAGTTGCTCCGCGACTTGCAGGATCTTAGTTCCCCGACCAGGGATTGAACTCGGCAGTGAGAGCACTAAGTCCTAACCTCTGGACTGCCATGGAATTCCCCCTACACTCGTTTTCCAGGCTATACTTGACATGCGGAAACTCATCTACTCCCATGCCTTCCAGTACCACCCACCCATCCCCTCATTACTCCCAAACTTATTTCTCTAATCCGGGCTGCCTGTCTCAAGTTCTAGACCTGTATCTCCAACGACATGTCTCACAGACACCCCAGTGCAGCTGTCCAAACATGAAACCAGGGAGTCATCCTTGACTTTTTTTTTTTTTTTTATAGCCCCCCTACTCCCTTCCTCAAGGTACGGCAGGGTGTGAAACGTGGCTGTGTCCTCCATGCCGTTCATGGAAATAGAGGATTGCAGCCCTGGAACGTGAGGAATTCTCTTTTTTGTTCAGAATCCTTACTGAGGTACCAAATGATGTTATTCAAGCCCCCAAATATTTTTATCCCTAGTACCAGTTTGGCAGTGGGTAACCGCATCTTGGCCTAAGGGAAAATGTGAAAGGACGAAGATGTGAAAGGACGAAGCAAGCTAGGACTAGAAGTCTTTATGCCCACATTCTTCCCACCGGCTAGCACGCTCTCCAGCCCCCAAACCAAACCTGGTCTGAACAGGTGGCCCTGCACTGCACTTGCCCACCAGCAGATGCTCGTCCAGCGGCTCTGCCTTGACACTGGGCTGGGCCAGGGAGCAGCACATTCGTTATTTTGAGTCATCTCCAATGTCAATCCAAGTAATAAAGATACTGAGAATCTTTATGTTAAGAAAGAATTACTGACAGCTCAAACTGCGACTCTGGCTAGGATTCAAAAAGGGCCTTTCCGATTTACTGGAGAAAGTTACTTCCGAAATCAGCTTTAGTTCTTTCTAGTCACATGTACAGAACCATGGCCTTGATAATTAAGACTATAACATAATCAGTCTTACCTGAATGATAAATATCTTGGGTTTTCCAACCAGGCTCTGACACTTGTCTCCTTTGAACAAGCCAGTCAGTGTCTGAATTTCAATCTTGGCATCATATGCATAGATGTGGTTGCCTTCACCGTGACTCAGGAAAACACACAAAAAGCAATCAGCGTCTGCATGGCTAGCGGTTGATGCTAAAAAGGCACCCAAAAGTTATTCAGAAATGAAAATAAGGTGCTTCTTATCTACATCTAAAAATTTAATTTCCTAATATTAGAATAAAGTTACATACATACAATTGAGGGAGGGGGAAAATGTGTTATTATAATATAAAATGTCTGTAATGAAACACAACTTATTTTAGTATTTAATCAAGCAATAATTTATACCATACTATATCTGATTTTTTAAAAATCCAAATTATTACAGTTCAAAGTAATAGAGGTGAACAGATTTTGTTAGCTCTCCTAAAACACAGAATAATGACATGGAAAACCTAAAGGGATTATTGTGGGGAACGCCCTTAAAAGATCCAAGTCATTTTGGCAATATAAGTTTCTTTGAATCAGCAGAGACCTTCTGGAAAGACCCAAAAACTACTACATAACACCTCCCTATGTGTCGCTGCACCTCCAAGGAGTGCAGCACCTTCACTATATGTCCGCGGCGCTCAGAGCTTCCGAAAGAGTATTAAGACAGGAGAGTGATGTCCTCCAAAGCGGAGGAGCAAGCAAAGTAGAAAACCTGGTAAGCAGCCAGTTGAAATTATTTACAGGTTAAAGAAGAACTCTGGTATGAGGTTCCTTAAAAAAATTAAAAATAGAACTACTGTATCCTGCACTTCCACTTCTGGCTATTTATCCGAAGACAACAAAAACGCTCATTTGAAAAGATATATGAACCCTCATATTCGTTGCAGCAATTATTACAACAGCCAAGATATGGAAGCGACCTAAATGCCCAACAGTGGATGAATGGATAAAAAAGAGATGTGTATATACAGGGGCTTACCATTCAGCCATTAAGAAAAGAAATCTCGCCATTTGCAACAACATGACTGAATCCTGAGAGCATTATGCTAAGTGAGGGAAGGCAGAGAAAGACATGGTCTCACTATATGTGGAATCCAAAACGCCAGCCAGCAAGCAGGCGACCCACCTCAAAGATGCAGAGAAAAGACTGGTGGCTGCTGGGGCAGAGGCAGGGGTGGGGTGGGTGTGGCCAAATGGGGGAGGGGGCAGAGGTACTAACTTCCAGTTACACAAATACGTAAGTGCCGGGGACGTAATGGACAGCATGGTGACTGTAGTTAACAATACGGTATCGCATACTGGAAAGCTGCCGAGAGAGGAGATCTTCAGAAGTCCTCATCACAAGAAAGGACAGTCTTTGTAAGTACGTATGGTGACAGACGGTCACTACATTTCCTGTGGTGATCGTTTCCCAGTGTATGCAAATATCAAATCATTATGCTGTATACCTGAAACTAGTGTTATATGTCAATTATACCTCAATTTTAAAAAAAAGAGCTCGGAAGAAAGTTTAATTACGTAAATGTTATAATAGTCCATTAACAAATTACTTAAAAATCCATGACATGTAGTGATTAATTACAAACGTAAGTTGTTAATTTACCTACTACTGCATAGTGATGTAGAAATTAAGAGATAATGTATATAAATCAACAGTATTATGAAGCCAGTAAAAACTTGGGTATGGAAGGAGTCAATTAAAAAATGACTACCCAGCATCTGTATGTAGTATTTGCATTTTCGGCTTTTAATTGCCAAATGAAAAGATCATTTCATTCATTTCTAGAGTAATAGACTGTAACTAGTGGTATATAGACTGTAACTTTGGAGGCAGAATACTTTGCAAAGGTCTCTAAATCTGGTAGGTAACACAATCAGAGAGGCGCAACCAAAACCTATAACCCATGCTGAATTAATTGACAAGCCTTTTTCACAGTACGGTTAATTATTTGGACCTGTCTTTACACATAGGATAATTGAAAACTACTCAATCCCATCAGAGGAATATGAATAAGAAAACTATTGATACCTACCCTCGTGAATTCTGAGCAGTAGTTCTTCTGCTTTAAGATCATCAAAGCATTTCACTTCAAATCCTAGATCTGAAAACCTGGAGATGATAAATTAAATTGGATGTTAGCTTATGAGCTATTCAAAGCTGCCACATACCCCTAATTATTTGAGGAATCTATACACATTTTTATGACATATAAATTGACTTTTCTTTAGAGAGAAAGAAAAATCAAATATGACAATGATCATTTTCCTTGATAACCCTCGGTAGGAAGGGATTTATTCATGATAACTGATTTAAGTTACAATACTGCCATCTACTATGCAGATAGACTTTTAACAATGCAAAGAATGTTAACATTTAATAGAACAGGATTAGGGGGGAAATTCAGGCAAGTTCTTAAGGGAGGCTGTGCCCAAATGAGGTTCATCCTCAAATACTCTTGCTCTGTCTGTTATTTCATCAGTGTGGACAAGTTTTGATAAGTAGTTATCACTTAAGTATCTCACCATCTCGACATATAGATCAAACCATACTACCTGCGCTTAAGACTGTCTCTGTCGGCGCTGGTGCCCTGCCTGTCTGGTAGGGTTAAGTGCCAGAAGAACCTCTCATGATTGAAGATTAAAGCAATTCCTCTCCTCTTGTGGTCCATTTTGTACGTTTCTGCCGGATCAAACACTTCTCTGTTTATGAAAAGTTGTAAAAACAATCACTTAAGTCATATTAAATAAAGAGCTCCTCCAAGCCCAAGGTCAACATATAGAGTAGATAGAGGTCTGCTGCGTCCACCTCCTCTGCCAGGCGGACAGACCACTGGTGTGCCCCAGGGAAGCCTCCCAGCCACACTGGCAAGGAAAGTCCTGAAATATTGGGTGGGCCAAAAAGTTCCTTCGGAATTTAAGTAAAAGACAGACACATTTTCCATCTTCACCAAGAACTTTATTGAACAACATATTCACCGTTTTGTTGCACTACCTTCTGCCATTTTTCAGGCAACTTCAATTCCATCTTCTCAAAACTTTTTATCTTTTTGAGCAAAGAACTGTTCCAGGTGCATTTTACAGTCTACCAGGGAATTGAAATTTTTTCCATTAAGAGAATTTTGTAAAGACTGAAATAAATGGAGATCTGAAGGCGCAATGTCTGGTGAATACGGCAGATGAATCAGAACTTCCCAGCCAAGCTGTAACAGTTTTTGCCTGGTCATCAGAGGAACGTGCAGTCTTGTGTTATCCTGATGGAAGATTAGGTATTTTCTGTTGACTAGTTCTGGACGCTTTCATCGAGTGCTGCTTTCAGTTGGTCTAACTGGGAGCAGTACTTGTTGGAATGAATCGTTTGGTTTTCCGGAAGGAGCTCATAATACAGAACTCCCTTCCAATCCCACCACAGACACAACATCACCTTCTTTGGAATGAAGACCGGCCTTTAGTGTGGTTGATGGTGGCCCATTTTGCTTGCCCCACGATCTCTTCCATTCCACATTATTGCACAGTATCCACTCTTCATCGCCCATCACAATTTGTTTTAAAAATGGAACGTTTTCATTACGTAAAGAATCGCATGCGGAAATACGGTCAAGGTTTTTTTCACTTGACTTATGTGGAACCCAAACATCGAAGTGACTGACGTAACCAAGCTGGTGCAGGTGATTTTCAGTGCTTGATTTGGGTATTTTGAGTATGTCGGCTCTCTCCCGCGTGGTATAACGTTGACTGTGCTCAATTAATGTCTCGAGTTGATCGCTGTCAACGTCAACTGGTCTACCCGACCGTGGAGCATCGTCCAGCGAGCAATCTGCAGCACGAAACTTCGCAAACCACTTCCGACACGTTCGATCAGCCACAGCACCTTCTCCATACGCTGCACAAATCTTTTCTTGCCTTTCGGTTGCATTTTTACCTTTCTTGAAATAATAAAGCATAATATGTTGGAAATGTTGCTTTTTCCCTTCCATCTTCCATATTAAAATGGCTACACAAAAATTCACCAATGCTTTTTTCAAATGCATGCTGATGTGACGGCTGTCACAATACAATCTAACAAAATTGTTTTGAATGAAGTTAAAGACAACTAAGTGCTACTAGAGCCATCGAACGGAAGAAAGCAAACAAGCTTTTTGGCCCACCCAATACTCCTGTACCAACGGGTAACAGCAGCCATGCTGAGCACCCCTACGCCCACCCCAGTCCCTCTGCATGGGTGTCTTTCCCCCAGGTCTCCAGGAGTCAGCGACCAAGGACAACGGCCTGGCCCAGGCCTAGCCCCAGGGCCCATGCCATCCCAATTGTTCAGTATTTTGACCCTCAGTCTAGGTCCCTTCACAGCCAGGGGCAGCACACCTATACTAACCTGCACATCTACAAACCAACCCTCCAAATGCTAAAACCTGACATTCTCAGTTCTGCTTTCTAGCTCCCAGGTCCCTTTCTTGCTTTGATTTCTATAGGCTGATCATGATCAAAGGAAAAGACCTTTACTGGTAAAGAGCACATTTTTACCTCGTAGGGAAGGCATCTGTTTCTGTCATGTTTTGTTCACCTATTAAAAAAAAGTTGGGTTTTGTTAATATACTTTTTGACTTATGGTCATAAAACACATCAGGAACTCCCAGCTGCCTTGACTCCTATACTCTTAAGCCCCTTCTGTCTTGGTTAGTTTAAAGGTCAAAGTATGTGAGAAGGAGTAAGGGAGAAGGAAGGGAAAGTGCTATGAATAATAAACAAATTAGAGTGGCATGGACTTAGATACACTACCAAATGTAAAACAGATAGCAAGTGAGAAGCAGCCGCATAGCACAGGGAGATCAGCTCGGTGCTTTGTGACCACCTAGAGGGGTGGGATAGGGAGGGTGGGAGGGAGGGAGATGCAAGAGGGAGGGGATATGGGGATATATGTATACGTATAGCTGATTTACTTTGTTATAGAGCAGAAACTAACACACCATTGTAAAGCAATTATACTCCAATAAAGATGTTAAAAAAATAAATAACTATAAATTAACAGCTCAATTTTTTCTCACCCCCAACTCTTACATGCAAAATAAAACAGATTAGAAATGGAGAAAATTTAAAAAAAATTTTTTAATGGAGAAAATATTACTCAAACACATTCGTTGCAAAATATGTCTAAAGTAACAAATGTAGCTCTGTGATTATACAGCTCAAATGAAATATGAAATTGCTTGATATTGCAGAAAATGTTTTTGCAAATATTCTCTGAAACAGAGAAGGGATTAAGTCAAGCAAGAGAACTGAACAGAGCGTGGTTAATACTGGATTACCCTGCCACCTGGAAGAGGTAGACGTTTGGTGGAGGAAGGGAAAGGGCAAAGGCTCAGACTTTGATCTCCTGAATGACACATGTGCACTTACGACCCTGTAATCGGGACCCTCTGCTCCTGACCCACGAACAGACTTCCCCACCCCCGAGACAGCCTCTCACTGAATCCCTCTCTACTCCCGGGAACAGTGCTGTGCAACAGAGCTCTCTGCAATGACAATTCCCTACACCAGAGCTGTCCCATAGGGCAGCCACTGGCCACATGTGGTCTTGAGCACTTGAAATGTGGCTAGTGTAACTGACGAACTCAGTTAATTAAATTAATTTAAACGTGTGGCCCGTGGCTTCTGTACTGGACAGCACAGTCTAAGCATCTTCTACAAGGGCCCATACGCTCATAAATCTGTTTTTACCTGATAAACTTAAGAGCTTAAGAGGGGAGGGGAGAGAAGGTAATACAATATCAACAGTATAGCAAGATGCACCTCTCAGTTGAGGTCTTTGAAGGAAGCGCAACAGACCCTAAGGGTAGACTCCTACCCATCATCTCCTAGTCAAGAGGGTGGGGTCCCCCTCTCTCCTTGGAGTCTTCTCCCTGACGCCTGACTGTTCTAACCTCGCGTCTCCTCACTGACAAAAATCCGCCCAGGGAGGGAGGATGAGGTGAGATGGGGAATTCAGCTCCAGGGCCCTTTACCAGTCACTCTCAGCCTGTTCGTCACGTAATGCAGCCAGCATTCCAGCCAAGACCCCACAGCGGCCTTCCCCTTCCCCTTCCCCCTCCCCTGTGCCATAGGCCCCAATCAGTTTTTCTTAACCTTTTGCATCAGTTCCTGGCCTGGGTGATAAAATGCAGATTCCTCGATCCTAACCCTGACTTACAGAATCAGAATCCTGGGAAAGGTGACAATCTGCATTTTTAACAAGGTGATTTTTACTCACACCAAAGATGAGTCAAAAGCAGCCTCTAGTGCATCCTCCCCACACTCCCAAAGTTTCCGTGCTACCCCACATCCTGCTCTAAGGTGGATACTTCATATTCCACACCCTGCTTTACTGAGAATACTTCCTACCAAGCAATCCTCTATCCAGGGGGACTTCCCTACTGTACAGCTGCTCTACTGGGGGATTTCCTACTCCACGCAGTGTTCTAAAAGGGATCCCACCGACTCCACCCACTGCTCTACTAAAGGTCACATGGTAGCTCATACACTGTTCCACCAGAACACTTCCTCCTCCACACACTGATGCTGTACACGCTGTCCTCCCAGGGACAGTGCTTACTCCACACACTTCTCTACTAGAACACTTGCTGCTCTGCACACTCGACCCTGGGGATCCTTCCTACCACGCACAGTGCTCTCCAGGGATCCACAAACTCCTCTACCCAGAATACTTCCTGTACCACACACCAGTCTACTATGAAATCTCCAGCCCTACTCCACTAGCAGGGCACTTCCTTCTCCACACACTGCTCTACTGGGGACACGTCCTACCCCACACACTGCTGTACAGCTGATGCTTCCTAATAAGACACCCCTCTACTTGGGATGCTGACCCCGTGAGCACACGGCTCTCTGGGGGATACTTCCGATTCCACAGTTATGCCCAGGATACCTCCTCCTACACACCCCGTTCTACCAGGGTTACTTCCGGTGCCACACAGTGTTCTACCCGGGATACAGAAACTGCTCTACTCGGAATACTTCCGACTGCACACAGTGATAAACCGGGATGCTTCGTGGTCCACACACTGCTCTGCTACGGATACTTGGACTCCACGTACTGCCCTACCTAGGACACAACCTATTCCACACCACGCTCTATCCTGGAGACTTCCTACTTCACACACTGATCTACCAAGGTTACCTGGAAGCACCCACACACCGCTCTCCCCGGGACACGTCCTACTCTTCTTACTCTACAGATCACTCTACCCAGAATTCTCCCCACTCCACACACTGCTCTACGGAGGATACTTCCTTCTCCGCACACTTTCCACCGGCGATACTTCTGGCTCCACTCAGTGCTCGCCCGAGGATACATCCTACCTTTCCTACTCCACACACTGCTCTCTGTGACATACTGCTTACTAGGACGGGGCTCCACCGGAGCAGAGTTCCTTAATAGAGAGACCTCTTTACCGGGATACCTCCTCCTCAACAGCGCTGTGCCCAGGGACACTTCCCTCCTGCACTCAGTGCTCACCTAGGGCACTTCCTGCCCCCACGCACGGCTCCACTGAATGTACATCCTACGCTTCCCACTCCACAAACAGCCATACCCAGAATGCTTCCTACTCCACACGCTGTTCTCCTGGGATACTTCCCACTCCACACGGCTCTATGGGGCATGCTTCCCACTAAGACTCCCCGCTACTCAGGGATGCTGCCCTTCTGAACACGTTGCTCTTCGAGCGCATAAACAACTCCACCCAGAAGATTTCCTACAACGCACTGATACATCATGATACTTTCTAGTCCACACGCTGCTCCCCCTGGGACACTTCCCACTTCTGACAATGCTCCACTGGGGATACTTCGACACCCTGCTCTTCCTAGGCTACGTCCTACTCACACACTGTTCTAACTGGGATTCCTCCTGCCCCACAACTGCTCTCGCCCGAAGAGCTCCACACCCTGTCTACCGGGGTAACTTCCTGCTCCCCACACTGCCCTACCAGAGCAGTGCAGGGTTTTCTCTCCTTCCATTTTCAAAAGCTTTTGTTCCGGGATCCTTTTAATAACCTCACGTGCTTATCATTAAACCACTTATACAATAAAGAAACAGAACCACACAAACTAAACACATGAAATCCATATCTGAAAGCCAATCACCTCCTTCACCCGCCAAGAACCTGCACAGGCTGGAGAGCACCTGAGTCTCTTCTGTGATGCCCAGAGTAGTGGCAGACCCAGCAGTTCACCTCTCCCAGCTTTTGCACCTTGTTGGCTAGTGAGCCTAAAGCAGCTTGAAGTGTCCCTGGCGGAAGCTGTGCCAACTGGCCGGTCACCAAACTAACTCAAGACCTTGAGGGTGAAAGCATTGGAGAGGTACACCCGACTGGGTCTTTCAAGTTCCTTTTTCACAGTCTGAGGAAGGAGCTTCACAATTCTCCTGGGCTGGATGTAATTTATGCTGTGCATTTGGGTCATCTCAAATACTGCCCTCAGCTTACAGACTTAGGAAAGATGGCCAGTTTTAAGTAGCTCAAGATTAATTTGTTTAAAATGACATTCAATTTCAAAGTAAACAGATAGGACAATCTCAGTGAGGCATTTTTTAAAGGTTTTTTTTTGTCGTCACTGTTAACATGATAGATGTAGAAAGACACTGGGCTGTGAAAACTTCAGTTCTGATCCTCACAGGCTCTAACCTTCACTCTGCTATAAACAGACACCCTGTATCCTGCAATACCAATTACTGACCAAGTCCAGCTGCCACTCTGTTCTAGCAGTTTGTTGAATCAGAACAGAAAGCTATGAAGACAGACATTAGAACTGAGGTTCCAATACTTTTCCTGGAGTTGATCAATTTTACCCTGCTTCCAGAGAACATACAATGCGACTCTGTCGCAGTCACTTTAAACTGCATGTACCTAGCAGACCAGCTTTCAGGAAGGGTGTGCTTTAACAAGTATCATCGTACTGCATGAGTACAAACAAACTGGCTTCGTTGACATGGAGAAAATAAAGCTTAATGAGGGAGATTCCCTATATAACATTTACAAATTCCTGTTCATTGGCAATCTTTTCATCAAAAATGGTTCCAAAAAAAAAAAAAAAAGGTTCCGCCACTAAACCTGACTCTTGACCTCTTCTCCCCTCTCCTTGCCTCTGATTTAAGCAATTTTCCTCTCCACCATAATGCAACCACGACCTCTTTGCTCCTTAAACAAGTTAAATTTTTACAAAACCAATCAATCATTCCTTTTTCCTCCACACCTTAATCTGTTAATGCCCCCAGCTACCATTTGTTGATGGCGTGGCACTTTAGATAACTTTATCTCACTCTGCTCCACAGGCTCTGTGAGACAGAGAAAGTGCAAGAGATTTGTCCAAGGTCAGTGCCCTGGAGTTGGTACTGAAGACCCCGTTCTGACTGTAGATTCCAAAGTCCCTACACTCCCTGTCACCATGTTAAAACCGCTCCCACCAGAGAGAGACCAAAAACCTTTCTAAACTAAGTGTTTGTTCATTTCTCCCAACTTCTTCAGCATCTACTGTTGTCATCTGCATTCACTGCAGTATCTACGAAAATCTACCCACGTCCCCTATCAACAACTGATTAATCCTACCTTGAGTGACTCATGTCAGGCCTGGAACACACTGGAAAAGGGGTGGGGTGGGGATTGAAAAGGGAGCAAGTAGGAAAAGGAAGGAAGCCATAAAAAGAATGGTGGGCGACATGCGGTGACTAGCGGTCCCTCAAGCATCTTGGACCCCTGCCCCAGCTTCCCACCCCTCACCACTGGTTCCAAAAGGGAAATGGCCACTGGACCTCGCACTGTCCATCAGGGTAATGCCACTTCCTCCTGAACAACCATGGTGACTTTTACAACTTGCCTCTGGGGCAAAAGGCTTGTTTTGTGCGGCGAAGAATAAAAAGCTCTGAAATAAAGGCACTCTGCATCGACTGACTGCCAGCGCTTCAAACCACCCCCCACTTTTTTTTTTTTTTTTTTACTATGGCCAGAATTTCTAAACCTTATCAGTAAAATAATAAGTGACAGGGAAGATCGTTCTAAAGCATGCGTTTAGCAGTTGATCATTTTGTAGAGAATAGTTACTGTGGCTTTAACTTAAATTCACGAACAACTGCAGGTTTCCTGGAGGCAGGAGAGCCATGGCGGCTGTGCAGCCGCCGACGCCTGGACTTCGTCTCCAGGTTCAGAGCGGGCAAGCCCGGGGGCCTCTCTGCCCAAGCACTGCCTCGGGCCGGTCACGCTCCATTGTTACTGCAGGCAACCACTTCTTTTAACTGAGAAGTGAGAAAACAAAACAAGATCCAACCTCCAAAAGTTAACTTTCTTATGACCAGGCGCAGTTAAAGTTTAAATAGCCCCGACGGTTAGAGAGAGATCAGCGCCCGGAGGACAAAAGCGGCCAGGGCACGCCCCAGCGCTCGGCGCCGCCACCAGGGACCGCAAGGAGGCGGCGGCTAGGTTCCCGAGTTGTTTTTCTGAGCCCAGAAGTTAAGCTGCGCCCACCGGACCTGAGCGCTTCCCTCCAAGACCCTCAGCTGCTTCTGGCCGCCGAGGAAAACCGGAGGAGCCCGCGTCCCCACCCCCGCCTGCGCGCCCGCCCCCCCGGTACCCGCCGCCTACCTGCACCGCGAGCCCCGCGGAGCCCTGGCACCGAACTCATCGCGGCAGAGCGCGCAGCACCGACGCCCGGGCGGCCTCCTCTTCCTGAAGCCGGGCTGCAGCCCCCGCCCCTTCCTCCACCCCGCCCCCGCCTCCGCTACCCCCGCGCCCTCGCTCCCTGCCCGCCGCCTGCCGGAGGGTGGGATGGGGTCGGTGGTGGCAGTGCCCCGCGCAGAGTTAAGGCCCCTTTCCCTCACGCGGAGTTCGCCGAGGCAAGAGCGCCCGGGCAGGGCGGGGGACCCGGTCTCCTCCGCCTGGCGCCTTGGAGAGCCGAACCCTGCCGTAGGGAGACGTCAGATTCCGTCCCGAGCACGAGCGGCGGCCCCGGGGTGGGAGGCTCCAGGCAACTGTAGATGACCTGCAGCGAGCTCCACGCTCAAGCCCCGCCCCAAGCGTTTGCTCCTCCTCACTCCCTCAAAGGTGCAGGCTGTTGTGTTCCTGCTTCCCTAGTACTCCTTTCTCCAGTACGAGTTATTTATAGGATTTGTTAAGAATTTACAATACTTTAAAACGCTCTGTTTGTATAGCGGATTCGGGCCAAAGTAAACTAGATGCCACTCCAGGATTCTCAAATGTGGCTTTTATAAGTAGAGGTAATTCGGGGAAGGAATCATGCAGAAATTAGGAGCCCGGACTTCGGGGTCTGTAGACTATGGCTTTTAACGACCCAGAGCATGTCTGTTACATTTAATTGAGCTCCTCTTCGGGTGGTTGGCTAGTGTGTAAATTTGCTTCAACGAACAACTCTGAATCGGAAGAAAAGGTGGCTTCCTCTTTCCCAACTTCTCTGGGTCTTGCCATTTAACAAGTAACCGACATCAGACTGGGGGAAAAATGTGTTAAGGCACCATTTCTAATACATTAAAATAAGTATAAGGGATCCGTCTTCTATAAGCATCACCCCTTTATTGGGGAGGGAAAAATAAAATCTAACTCGGTAACTCCTACATGTACTTGTGGTTCAAAAGTCTTGCTTGGTCATGGAATAGAATATGAAATCAAAGGATTTTACTCACTCCACGCCACTTACTGTTCAGTTCCTTGTAGGCATAAAATATTTCAGGAATCACTAGCTTTGTTCCTTATTCTGCGGTGAAGACATGGAGTATCGGTATCTCCCTCGTATGGTGGTTGTAACAACTGAGTTAAATCACTGTATTCAGAACAGTGCCTGGCTTGTGAAGAGCTCAATACATTTTTACTGCCACCACCTGAAGCTTATGGAAAGTAAAACTGGCCTTCTTACGGTTTCCCCATTACGAAGCAGTTGCTTAGTATGTAGGAGGTGCTCAATAAATATTTATCCATTGAATGAGATTCAGGGTTTCAGCATATGCACTCTGGACTTTACCCAGTTTGAATGAGTTATCTGACCACCAGAGCTTCCGGTCCTTCTGCCTGGTTTTCAGGGTCTCCTCTACTTGAGCCCTGAAAACACTCCTTATATAGAAGCGGAACTCCAACTGGCTGACCTTCCATTTATCTGAAAGGAGCAGATGAAAGGAATTTATTTTTTCCCCCTAAGTGTCTTGTTATCTCAGAATATTGTATTGCTTTTATAGCATGTGGTTATATATATTGTCTACCTTAAGAGATATAAATACAAAGCATTAGGATACTTATTTCACAATTATAAATGCTAAATTCCAGCTTTTTAAAGCAATAGCTATCCCCCCAGTAAAAAGGGTAAGTGCTTGGGATTGGAAAATGGGCTGCCTAGGTTCTAATCTTGACTCCATTTTATTGGCTGTGAGACCATGGACAAGTACTTAAGGCAGTTTAACCTCCCCCAGCTTCAAATTCTTCTCTGTAAAATGGGGATCAAATTTACTCAATAGCTGAGATAGTAACTGCCAAAGTCCCAGAACAGTACCCAGCCCACAATAAGCTTTCAGTACATGTTATTTTTAGCTACTGAAGATTACCTACACCAGTTCTCAAACCGTAGTCTCTGAACCAGCAGGATCAACATCATCCGGGAACATACTAGAAATGCAAACTCTTGGGACCTACACAATCAGACCTACTGGATGAGAAGCTGGGGGTGGGGTCCAGCAGCTCATTTTAACAAGCCCTCCAGTGATTCTGCTGCAGGCTCACGTTTGAGACATAGACTAATTAGAATCCTACCAAGGAATCTCTTCCTTCTCAAAGAAGAAAAGAACCCAAAGCATTTCCATATTATTAAAATAATTAAGATATACTAAAGACCAAAAGTTAACAGACAGGATGGCTTGATTCTTGCCATTATAGTGACTTTTAGTGACTTTAATTTTTAGTGACTTTTAGAAGTCACTTTTATGGATTTTCTGAAACTGAAGCTCTTAGCCACTGTTACCTATCCAAGGAATGAAATATATGGAATAAAGTTAAATTCAGAGATAATTCTAAAACTTAAATTTTGGCCTTTTTTCTTTTTTCAGTGTTTACCCCACTAAACCTTGTGTTTTTCCTATATGAATCATAGGAATACCAAATTTCTACAATTCTGACTACTACACTTAAGAAAACTTGACAGCCAACAAAGACATATTTGTAAAGTAGGCAACAAGGAGACTCTGAAGGATGTTTTGGAAACCTAATAAGCCTGAGACCAAAAAAAGCATAACATCACGGTGACCTGTATGCAAATATGACACTGCTGATCTGGTTTTATTTTTATTGATTTTTTTTTTTTTTTTTTTTTTTGCGGTACGCGGGCCTCTGTTGTGCAGCCTCTCCCGTTGCAGAGCACAGGCTCCGGACGCGCAGGCTCAGCGGCCATGGCTCACGGGCCCAGCCACTCCGCG